CGCCCCCCCCCCCTCCTCCCCGCGCAACGGCTAGGATGGATGCAGACCGTGCAGCCCCTTACGCCAATTGTCGGGAGAAATGGTGTATGGACGTTAAAGAATGAGGATGCTATTGTCGTCGTGATATGTGCTGAGGCGAGACAGTAGAGTGTAGCTAGATACATGGGCGTACTGCCAACGCGGAGACCAATCACGACTTATTCCCCGACCCGCCCCAGCCCAGCCGCTCCCAAACGCTTTTGCTTGAAGATGCACGGCTGGTCTCTGCGTCCGGAGAGGGCACCATGTCAGACGACACACTCGATGGCGGGTACGCGGCTGCACTCGCGCTCTGTCCCGCACCGCCGCCGGGCCCAAATGCGCGCGACCAGCCCTTGTCCGCCGCGCCCATCTCCTCTTCGAGCCGGTGCGCCTCCTCCGCGGCACGAAGGCGCTCGTGGAACTCGGCACGGTCCTTCGCGGTCGCGGCGAGGAAGGCCTCCTGCTCGGCGGCGGCGTGCGCCTCCTTCTGCTGGCGCGTCTGGCCGTACGCGAGGGAGCCGCCGACGATGGCGGCGATGGTGAGGCCCTGGAAGACGACGCGGGCACGGAGCCAGTGGTTCATGGCCTTGGCCTCGCCGCGGCGCATCTTGACCATGGCGACGACGAGGGCGACGGTGGTCAGGCCTGCGCCTGTGGGCTGGCCGGTCAGCATTGGGCGCACGCAGCGATGGGGAGGGGCAGCGGCACAGGGTGTGTTGGGGATAGGGAGGGGCACGGACCGATGGGGACGAGCGGCTGCTCTTTGAATTTGCGCATGAATTTCTGCTTGTAGGTCTCTGCGTGGACCATGCCGCCTGGTGCGGGTGTGACGTTGCGCACGCTCATGACAGCGGGCGAATGGGACAAGATGAGAAGGTGGTGGTGGAGGAGGAGGAGGAGGAGGAGGAGCAAGTCGTCTCGGGATACTGTTGGTGCTGAGAAATGTGCTGGATCGCGTGGTGGAGTCGCCTACAAAGAGCCCGACTTTCGAGTTGCTTCCGCGAGCAGCGTGGAGACGGACGTTGGGCGTGGATGTACGCGTGCGGGAGAGAGAGAGAGAGAGCAGCTACAAGCGAGCAGAATGCAGCATCGGGCAGTCGCACACTGACAGCTGGGAGTGGTTTCGATGAATTGTCGTGGGCGTTTGTCATGACGTCAAGTGATATTTCCTTGTACGGAAATCATGACTAAGAAACACATATACTCTGAGACTCTCCTTCTCCTTTCCACCACCTCTCATCGTCTCGCTCGTCCAGCACCTCCACCCGGTGTCCTCCACCGTAGACTGCCCATGGCTTCACGTATACCTGCCTTGCAGAGATCAGTCTCTACTCTCTCCTTTGCGTCTCATTCCGGCGCACGCTCGTGCTGTCGCAGCTGGCTCTATCTCCCCAGTCACCGCCTTTCGACTGTGTCCAATCTCCCCGGCGCAAGTCGTCCACGGACGCCCCAGTCCCAGCCCGCGCTCGGCCAGACGCCCCCTGTCGTGGTTCCTGCGGAGTCGACCTCTGTACCGTCGCCCAAGACGCTCTCGCCCGACGCCGCGTCCCCGCAGGTCGCCGCACGTCCGCCTCCTGCTCCCAAGGCCGAGCGCCGCAAGCCAACCATCAAGGCGACCAAGGCTGCGATCACTCTGGTGCGTGTCTTGAAGCCCTCTCCGTTGATTCCGCACCTCATTTGTCCGTCTGGCGTAGACACCGACGGCAGTAGATCGGCTACGTGCGCTCATCAATGGCCCGGTTCCGCGCCTCATTCGCATAGGCGTGCGCAACAAGGGCTGCGCAGGTCTTTCGTACCACCTCGACTATGTCGAGCAGCCGGGCAAATTTGACGAGGTCGTGGAGCAGGATGGGGTGAAGGTGCTCATTGACAGCAAGGCGCTCTTCTCCATCATCGGGAGCGAGATGGACTGGCATGAGGATGCGCTCAGGTATGTCTTCTCTGCCCACCGAATCCCCTCTGTCCACTAACCCGTGCGACGACAGCGCCAAATTCGCATTCAAGAACCCTAATATCAAGGATGCGTGCGGCTGCGGAGAGTCCTTCAGTGTCGGCTCATAGCGCTCACTTATTCCCGCATCGTACGCTTACATCCGTGCACATCTGAACATTCAATCGTTGCATAGTTTCAAGCTCTGTGCTGCATCGGCGTTGTATCCATATAACATTCTAATCTTGTAGAGTTTCCCCCAACTCTTTATCTTTGCGGGGTGGCTTGTTTCTTCGCCTCAGTTTTGTGGTGAACATCTGCTGTTGCTGATTTAGTCGGCCATGCCCTTGAAGAGCCTGGCAGTCCGCATTACTCAGTCTCCCCTCATTCGCGGTGTCAAAGCCGATCGGTCCCGAAAACCTGTGTTCCGCTGCAGCGGAGGAGGCTCGAAGACAGCGCTCCTGTCAGCCAATCAGATGCTTGGGGTTTGTCGGCGTCCTTTAGCGCCGTCAGGTGCAGATCCAAGCTATGTTCCCAGCCAATCATATAATCTGGTGAATTTGACGGTGGGTAGTTTGAAAAGTTGCTCCCAGTCTATGGCGAGAGGCAAGGCGAGCAATCCGAGTCGCGACAACTTACAATACTCGCCAAGCAGATCTTAAGACAAATCGCTTTGATGCGCTCGCATCACAACTTCGTGTGGATGATAACAAGCATCATCTGCAAATCTTTTTCCGTCCAAATTCCAGCTGATCTTGTAAGTCTATCCCTACAATGATAATATGTTGCTCTACAAGTACGAATTCATGCTTTGTGTCAAGAATGGCCAAGGGAGATGCATCTCTAGATGGTGCTCGGGTTTTCAGCGGTTTGTCATTTTGAGAGCGGCTTTCGGCGCGCCACATGGAGCCGGCGCAAATCATCAGTGTAGTTTGCCACAATGGAAGGATAAAACGGACCCAGCGTTCTGCCCCAGCGATTGTCGCGAACGTGAGGTTTCCTGCAGATCGCGTCTTACCAGCAACCTCGCTCTCGCTGAGATTTGAGCGCGTCTTGACCCGTCCATCCAAGCGCGAACGTCGTGCGCGAGTCGCGCAGCATATTCTGGCAATGACCGACCTGTCATCGTATCTCTGAGATCGCTCCTGCTCTCGAAGAACGGGTGACGGGTTTGGATGCCGATGCATCTTGTGTATGCTCTGTAGAGCATTTCCCTTTGGATTCAAGGTGACTGGAGTATCTGTGGATGGACACGGTAGACGCACCCGGTTGAGTCGTCGTAGGAATTCGACTTTCTGGTGCGAAGCACGGTGGGTCCCCGTGGTCGACGGCAAACTCAGTTCTTCGAGAGGCGCGAAGAGGCCAGCGTCGTAGGATTCAAACGCGCTGCGGCGCATGGCTATCGTGCGACGCGAAAGACCTCTGGGCAGCATTTGGTGCGGTGGTCAAGACCGTGACAAAGGACGCGGACAACATCGACGCAAGTGCAGAGGTCCGTGGTGCCGATGCGTCGGCAGCGCGAGCGGTGGCATCAGGCGACCACCGCGGCACTGTATTTGTAGACAACTTATGTCTCCTCGTCGACCTGTCTAGCTGGGACTGCCGTCAGCGGTTCATGCGCTCCCTCCATTTTACATCCGACACGGACTTTCCGGGCCAGACGCAAGACACGCTTCATCCTCTTACTCGCTCAATGCGCCCCAGTGACTTGAACAGTCTGCAGTGCATCATGCCTTCGATGGGTCTGCAATCGCAGTGGCTACATGCCTTTCTGTGTAGGACAGTGGAACTTCAGCTGAAATCACCGGTATCGCGTATAACTATCTCGAATCTCGCGGCTTGTGTTCGCATGCACATACAAGAAACTACAAGTCATGAAGCAAATTGGTGTCGTATATCGTCAGCTACTATGTACAAAGAACATGTAAACAGTAGCATCCGAGCATACCCACCTTTGCAGAAGACCTCAGAAACCAAGGGAGTGCTGTTGGCTATGTACGCCTTCGGATTGATCTACCTGGCGTCTACCGCGAGCGTTTGGAAGCTATACTAGTGCTTCACCTACTATCGGTGATTTGAGCCATGCTATGAACGTTCGAGTAAAGATCCTAATTCACGTTGAAGAAGAAACGACTTGCTGTTTCCGTCTCCACTGGTTGGTCTTCCAAAATCACATATTCGACACGTCGCGCGGGGCCAACAAACTTGGCCACACGCTAGTTGTCTGCAGCACGTTGCGCGTAAATCTCTCAATTTCTGGATCTATAAGATCGACATATCTTCCCAGGCTTGTTCTTGTGTCGATCCCCCCAAAATCCGCATCACTAACAGGATCGCTGTCAGAATGGACAGGACATGAGAGACCCTACCAATTGCAGCCCGACCCATCACGGACCAGTCATCCCAAGAACATTCTCCAAGCAGGATGGGAAGGACCCAGACATTTGAATGTTCCAGCAAATTTATATTGCTGTGGACACGATGGTCACATTGGTCAAGCCATTTCATCAGGTTGAGCCTCCGCCGGAGCTGTGCCTGATTCCTTCAGTTAAATACTGGGAAGACTCACCTCAGCCATCTCTCGCAGAATTGAAGTAGGAGATCAACATGTTCATCTACAGCATTCGCAGCCTTCTTGGATGCTTCCTCACGTCTCCTCTTGTCTGTGCATTTCTCTTCATTTATGCAACGGAGCAAATCCTCGTCACGGCATCCGAGTCCACATCTCCCTCGCCTCCCAGCGCCATAGTGAATCTCCGTATCGAGGGGGCTTTCCACACGATCTACGAAGCGCCTATTTTCACGACCCCGCATAACGTCACGACCGCGCTGGGCGGAACGCATCCTTGTAACGGCCTCAATTACGGCGCAAACCCCTTCCCTGGACCGACGTGCACCAGCGCGCTGGACGATGCAGCCCGGTCGGCGGGGTTTACGTGGGATGGGTGAGTCGCCAACGCGCCCATTTAGATCTAGATCTGGACGAGATTAATCGTCGCTACCGGCCTCTCTGCACATGTTGCTCTGAACTGACATTCCGCTGGCCACCCGCGTGTATAGGCCATTCTATGACACATACGACGACTACTTCATCACGCGCATCGCGCACTCCGCCGCGAACGCGAACACGTCCTGGGGCATCCTCCTCAACTTCGCGTTTACCCCCGTCGGCGGGTGCCAGCAAGAAGTGGGCACCGGCGCACATGTCCTCTTTGCGTACGACGCGTTCAATGCCGCGCACTTCCTCGCTCTGACCGTTGACGGATCTTCCACTGTGCATGCCGGCGAGCCTGTAACGCTCGTCGTTACTGATGGAATGACGGGTTACCCGTTGGAAGGCGCAAAGGTATACGCGGAGTCCGGCGGGGAGGAGCTCGTGACAGACGGGACGGGAAAGGTTACGTTCACTTTTAAGGACCCCAGCGTTGTCGTATTCAAAGCGGAGCAGACTGGCTCGATACGATCGAATCGCGCTAAAGTTACGATTACTTCGTAGGATGCAAGTGCATCAAAGAACACGATGCGTAATGGGATTGGTGTCATTCACGCTGGAGTGTCGAGATTGGGGCAGAGTTTCGAGAGGCATTATCTCCATGCATACATAGCCATATACAGAGAATGGTGAGGAAGTCAAGCTGTCTTACTCCGAGAACCCAAAGCTGCTATTATCGTTACCTGATTTGACATCAGTGAACAAAAGAAAGTCTGCACATATGTGAAGATGAAGAGCACTTGTTTTCAATCAGTCATAACTTAAAGCACTGTTGATTCAATCAGGGAATGGGGACGTGACTATGCCAAACTCCCAGGAGGCGAGCTTCTTCTCCATACTCGCGAGGTATATCGTTTCGCATTAAACACATTCGAAAAACCTAACTCGTATTGATACATTTGTCTCGCAGCGCGGGAGCAGGCGGGCATGCACTTCTGCTTCGGATCAGTTATATGTCGTCAACAATTTCCTCAGGGAGCCTCGAACGCATTGCTAACATATGCTAACTTCTAGGGGAAGTCCGTTGCCCCGCGTTTGTAGTCGCCGGTATACCGCATCCCGGCACCGCACATAGGTCACTCACTCCAAACTTGGGCATGCACACAAAATGGCAGCCCACCTTCGTCACGACAATGATTTGATCGCGTTTCCTGCGTGCATCCGTCCATTCACCGATGAACATTCCGGACGTCCCGTCCTGGTATATGATCAGTGGATCATAGGCAAGGATCTACACCTGATTATTCTTTTCGCAAAGCTTTTACGCTGCATGCAGAGGGCCATCAGGAGTACCGAGTCGCGCGAACTGAGCGATCAGCGGGAAAGAGGGACTAAGATCTGAATTCGCACCTGCGTTGTATGCCAGCGGCGCCGGAAATCCTCTAGGATAAGTCTGCATGTGCATCAGGGCTCAAGCGTTGCGTGGAACTGAAGAGCACGAAATTTCTTGAAGAAATACTCCTGCCAAGTCCAAGTAGCAAAAAGTGGGAATGATGTCTGCCACATGATCCCCATCCAACGCACATCCGAGCTTAAATATCTCATCAACGCGCACGTTTCTTGATCAGAAGGTTAACTAACTGCACAAGTAGAACTTGAATATTCAACGACATAACAAGTATGTAAACCGCTCTACGATTGGATTCCGAGAAGGGGAATAGCCAGCTTCTGATCGCCATACATACCTCTGCCTATAATCTCGACGGCCGGATCGCTTGCGGAACTGGCACCTTATCGAAGTGCCCCGAGCGGGCATGAGTCGAAGGAACCTTCGTCCCGTCGCCCTGTAATCACACCATATATCAATCCCACATACACGTAGGAACACGAATCTTGCGCCGCCACCAGAGACTGCACCGGACGCGTGTAAAAGGAAGCAAACACGTACCACGAACGTCGATGGGAATCCTGGGTCGAAAGGAAGCACGCCTTCGAGCTCTGCAATTTGCTCGTCGGTCAGCGCAATATCGAGCGCAGCAATGTTGTCCTTCAGCTGTTCGATCTTGCGCCCGCCGACGATGGGGAAGACATATGGCGTTTTTTGCATCACATAAGCGATCGCGACTGACATGGAGGTTAGTACTCGTGCGAGCGTGAAGTGGATTGACACGGCACAAGAAAGGAACTCGCGAAAAAATGGGTAGAAGGTCAATATCATACTCTGGTGCACGGAAGCACGATGGCTGTAGTATCGTGTCCCCGGCGCGCAGACGCTGATCGACGATCCCTGATCTAGATGACACGAGAAACATACCGGCGGTAATGCTCTTCGCACCAACCTCCTTTGCGACCTTTTCCAGAGCGAGCGAGACTTTGCGCTCGTTCTCATTGCGCTCCCAGCGCGGGTCAAACGCCGTACGACCTATTTACACAACAAAATATTCAAAAACAATTTCGTAGCGTCGCGAATGACGAGCTTACCGTTCTCCCCCGTTTGACGTCGGCGCTCCTCCTCTGCATCTGTCCTGATCTTCCCCGCAGCGAGGACGTTCCACGGAGCGAGTGCCATGCCTAAGACTATGTGTCAATAGCTGGCCATTCAACAAGAATCGCTATCATACTACCTTCTGCGCGAGCCATGGGAATGATTTCACGTTCAAAGTCGCGCTGCAGAATGCTCCACGCGCCCTGGTACACCGAAAACGGCGTCTTTCCTGTAAGCCTTGCATATGTGTTCGCCTTCGTAACGACCCATGCTGGCGTATCCGATATACCCTGCGGTGACTCAGGCGAGGGAATGCAACGAAAGGGTTGCAGGATACGTACGAGATACAGAACCTTGCCTTGCACCACCAAGTTGTGCAACCCGTTCATTACCTCTTCGATGCTGCATGAGAAGTCCCACTACAGCCAGGAAGGTAAACCTCGCACATAGAGAATAGCAGCGCGGTGTACTAACCCAGTGAACGTACAACAGATCGATATAACTTGTACGCAGCTTTTTCAAGGAAGCCTCGAACGAGACATGAAGCGACTTCATGCCGTTGCCAATATATGCCGACTTCTGGGGGATATCCGTCGCCCCGCGCTTGTAATCGCCGGTATACTGCATCCCGGCACCGCACATGGATCATTCACTTGTGCACGCACACAGAATAGCAGCCTACCTTCGTCGCGACAATGATTTGATCGCGTATCCCGCGGGCCTCCATCCACTCGCCGATGAACATTTCCGATGACTCGTCCTGGTACAAATTCGCGGTGTCAATGAAGTTTCCGCCCGCCTCGTAGAACGCATCGAGCAGAGCGAAGCTGTCCGCCTTGTCCATCTGCCCCATTCCAATCTTGGCCCACTGGTCGCCGATACTCCCAGCACCAAGGCAGATGGGCGAGACGTATACCCCCGCGAGAGGCGCAAGCTGACGATGACGGCCAAGCTTAGTTGCGGGTTCTTTGGGAGTTGTGAAATACGACATTGTGTTGAAAGCGTAGAAGCGAGTGCGGATAGCTGGGAATGGGGAAATGTTTTCTGGGCCTTTATATAGACTACCGGTTCAGGGACCGGGCGTGGGGCTTCCGCAGGAATGAACACCGGCACTGCCAGTTTGCAATAAATCAGGCGAGATTCGTGTATTAAGCTGTGGGGGAAAGTTGTATTGGGCTGAGTCATTCCCCGAGTCCGGACTTCAACGCCGAGGGTTGCCCAAGGAAGCTGAATTCTGGAAGCTCCTGATGACACAACACTGCTTATCTGAGAGAACAGGTGGATCCAGAGCTGCCGAAGAGATCAATATCGCCACAATGGAGTTGATGGCTCGCTGCCGCGTTGCATAATAGCTCAAGATGTTTGTGTAGTACGTATACATGCGCGATGTAGAGCGGATGTTGAAGAGGCGCTCACGTACGAGTCACACTGAGACTACGGAAAGAGCTCGAAGACACACCTTTCGCCTCTTTACTCTGGCTGCATCGATGCTATCAGCACTACACGAACTAGCGCATACATGCAATTTTTCAATGACGATCAGACAGGCTAGCTCATACTGACAGTCACTAGATCCTTGAGATCAGACGCTGCGCTGACACATGACACAAAAGACAGATTTTACTTACGAAATGCCTTGCTCAGCAACCAGGCAGCTTCAGATTAACCATGGGTACAAATCATCAACCTGAAGTCGCTGGTAGCACACTTGCTCGAACCTAGGCCGCGGAGCCACATGATCAGTCGATCATGCACTAGCAACTGAACGCCACCGGGGAAGGCGGCGACCACGAGTAGTATTCGCTCACGAACAGCGCAAATAAGCGGATGAGTAGCAATCGCGTCAGTGGGAAAGGCGAAGGAACGCGCATACTACATCATTAACTTTGAATAGTAGTCAGGATAGAGGTCTTAGATATCGGAAAAACACGAAAATACTGATTTTCTGCGTTTTCGTATACCGCCTCTTCCGCCTCCCCATACGTTGCATCATTAAAAAGTTTTTCCCTTCGAAGAGCTTAGGTAGTGATCATGCAAGAAGTATGCTAGATGACGGCTTACAGACGCGGGTGCCATTCTTAGTAGGCCCATTTGAAAGCAATGTGTTTTGGACCGTTGGGCGAGCTCGGGTGTCTGACTCAGGTGATAGTCCCACAAGCTCACCTGTTCTCTCAGCTGATGGGCCCTTATGCGTAGGAAGTGAAATTGGTTGCCGACTGGCGAAAAGTTGGCGACCAGGGAATCAATGGGACATAGAATTGAGTGAAGTCAGGTTACATGAAGGAGCAAGTTTCTAATGATCCGTTTACTGGTGGCCTTGAGGGTCATGCGGTAGACTAGTACTGCGATATCCTACCTTCACCCACAGCAATTCGCTAGCCGATGATCAGGAGATGACGGCATTTATTAGCTATGCGGTGAATGTAGTATGTACGCAGTATGTGAATGCGAAAGCAGAATGTTAGAACGAAAATAATATGAATGCACAAAACCCCAACTCAAGATGAGTCTTCAAAGAGCAGCATTGGAGATCGAAATGTTTCTGCTCCAGACCTCATTTCTAGAAATCCCCCAGATCTATCTCCACAGACTGGATGACCGACGCTTCGAAGCTGGTTGATATACTTGCTGCCTTGGGTGGTGAAGCTGAGGATGTCGCGGATGGTAGCGGGGACAGTGACCGTGGTGTTATGCCGCCCGCTTGAAAAGATGGGGTCCCAGGCGTATCAGGTCTGCATGTGCGCAGATGTATGTACATTGCCATGCACCAGCCGACGATATGTGCAACATGATGTTCACGAGTTGTAGTTGATAGCGAGAGCATGCAACGAAGAGATGCAGTCAACGCCCGATCACACAGCACACATCACGCAAAGACAACGTGGAAAAGGAGAAAAGGACACCAACCTGGGACTAAACAGCTTTGGCATTGTCTTTAGGCGTGCACTGGGGTCCAATGGTGTCCCTGAGCGCGGTGTTCCCCCACCTGCCGCAAGCATCCTGCGTTCGCGGCGTTTGCGCTCCACTTCCTGCGCTTCCGCACGCCGCACGGCCTCCATGTTCGCCTTGCGATTGCGCTCGTTCACGCGCGCGAGGATGTCTGCCCGACTCACGTCCCGCGGCGGAACGACAGGTGCTGTTGCATTCAGAGCCTCGAGCTCCAGATCAATCGCTGCAACCTCGTCCCAGTCCTGCCGCCGGCCTGCGAGCGTGCGAGCCTGTGCGAGCCGTGCGCGTTCAAGTGCAAGTGCCGCAGGAGACTGCTGTACAGTTTGTCCAGATTGCAGCTGCTTCTTCCGTGCGACAATCGCGCTGATGTCGCTCTGCGGATGCGCGTCAGAAGGGAGTCAGTGGACGTAGGTGCATGTGCACGCGAACCTCCGTCAAACGCTGGTTCATGAATTTAATAATTTGGGCTGCTTTCTTCTCTAATTGCCGTTTAGACGGCAGCTTCAACTTCTCATGCTCGAACGTTCTACTCAGGCGATCAAACTCTTTCTGTAATGACCGTACGGTTTGATGAGCGTATGTGAAGTAGGTCACGTTCACTCACTTGCTCAAAGCGCGAATTTGACACCTTGTCCATGTGGAAGCATTTTGTTGACACTCCATGCTTCAGCTCGAGTTGTTGGTCCACAGTTTGATCGTTGACTTTGTACGGCTTGACCACTTCCGTACCAAGATCTTCAAGAAAACATAAGTAGCCTCAGTATAAATACAAGGTGGAACTTACTTGAAACCTCGCATATGCGATATACTCCCTCACCATTCTCCATACCAATGAGGAACCTCACCCAGCCCCCTGCTCCCACACATGAAGCTTGTGAGAAAGTACAGCATAACAAGCATACCTTTGACGGCCTCTTCGAACCACGGGGCCATTGAGAAACGTGCCAGCATGTCGCGCGAGAGTTGGCATTTCTCCAGATCTTCAAGAGTTGCTGGCTCGTCGTCCGACTTGCTCTTATCGAACTTATCATATAACCTACGGTCTTTTTCTTCCTGCTCTTCATACTTGCTGATCTGTCCGTCCTCCTCTTCGTCGTCCGACATTTCCATGTCGACGGGTGAGGATGACGGATCTTGCCTTGGCGAATTTGTCCTAGTCTGCTAGAATCAGGGCATGTGTGTGCGTAGAACCACAACTGGTCCTTACACGCTTCTTCTCGTCCTTGGCTTTGCGCTTAGCCTTCAGCTCGTCCAACTTTCGCGACTTTTCCTTCGTCGCACCTCTCACAGCATGTTGACCTGACATTCTTTTAAGCGCAACTTATCCCGAAGGCATATCGACACGCACGTTTCGCAGCTTTAGATACATTCTCATCTCCGCGACCGCTCTGAGCTTGCAGCATCTGATCGAGATTGCGCTTATCCTGTATACGCTGCATTTCTTCCTGTCGCTGTGCAAGAATATCCTCCCGCTCAATCTCAGACATTTGCATCAAGCTGCGGAAGTGCTGTGTAGCAAGATGTACAACACACAGACGACGAATGGACACACCGATTTCTGTCTGCCTCGTTCACAAACTTGCCATCCAGCGGGTAGGGGTTGGTCTCGTTCCCTTCCTCCTCGCTTTCGGGCATGTTGTCATCTGAGTCGTCGACATTGATGCTTGTGTGCGAGTAAATCATAAAGCCTAAGGTAATGACGAATCCCTCACTCTGCCTTGCGCCGTTTGGATCCAGATTTCGACTCTGCCTGACGTTTCTTGCGTTTCTTCTCTGTCGCACCAGCCAGCTCGAGGAGTTCGTCGGAAATGTCGCCTTCAGAATCAGACATAGTGCAGGAGGAAAGAGCGAGTTAAACGACCGTCAAATATGTGGCGGTGAACAAGAACGAACGCTCAAGCACCAATGAACTGGAAAGTTACACATGTGACATTACACGTCGTGACATGTCACAAGATGTAGGTGTCGGAAGGCATCAAGCGAGATGTGAGCAAGTCCACCCAAAAACATTAGTATTACAGGGTGTCGACAACCAATGTACGATTTCTACAGTTCAAAGTCACGTATTGCATCCCGCAGGAGGCATAAACCAGTGATTGGGAGGCGATTTCTTGCGTTCTAGGTGCAATTTGATTTGATCGTTCATGGATACTTTAGAAGGCCATCGTATAGCCTAGGTTGGATTTATGAGGTCAGTACGGCCATTGTCCGTAGCGGTGATGGTTTGGAAGCGTACAGTCCAGACTCGACCATCCGTTATTATTCTTTGCAATTTGGGGACAGCTTCCATGATAGTATAAATATCCGGCTTGGATACAAAGATTCTCTGGCCGTGGACCGAATGGTGCGTATCGCCTATGTCGCTGAGCGTGTGTAGGCTTTTCGAAGCCGCGAGGGCATCGGCAAAAGAATACTGGAACAAAGACAACGGTCAGTCATCTAGAACTGTGCATCAATGAGAAGACATACAAGATCCTTTACAGGTATGTTGATGGCAAATCTTTCAAGATCGACACAACGTGTACAGATCGAACGCACACTGACCAAGCTCAACGCGCAGTTTAACAGCGCCATGTGCGTCAGAGTAGCCCCATGCGTGTCCAATAGTTCCTTGATAAAGAGGTCGCCAATAAGCACCTTGTCGGAGAGTTTCAGCGTGATCGATTTCAGCGAGCAAGACCAGGCGCGCGTCAACTGAATGATAGCATTCCACAAACTAGGAGTTGCATTTGGAGAAAGCTCGCAACGTGTATCGACCGACAAATGTTTCAGCAAACGCAAGGATGCAGACACCGGAAGCAACGGAGTGGGACGCGTGGTCTCCTGCATAAGAACGTCAATATGCGAAAACCTCCAAGAGATAAAACCATACCCAGCTGGTGAAGGACAGACTTTCCAGCCGAGGTGTATACGATACAAGGCGTAGCACAATATTGTGGTCAATTTTCATGCAGTTGACTACGTGCAAGCCAGTTAACTTCGGAAGATTTGCCAATGTCGACTCAAGGATGCACTCGCTCAAGTCTTGTATTGCCTGAATATTACAATCAGTAAGCCAGAAATAACCAGTTGTATGATATCTTACAAAGAGTGTCAGTGTTGTGAGAGTGGCCGTCAGGTTGGCCGACCATCTGGAGAGAACGTCCACAGTGTGAGGAGTGGCAGTATCAAGGGTGATACTATTCAAATTTCGTATCTGTGCAAGCTGATGCGCTTGGTCTGGAGTCAGAGTCGCGTTGACACGCAAATGTTGAAGTGACTCCTTGCGCTGCAGGTCGAGCAGAAATGACGGTAAAACGTTGGGAGTGCATGTAAACGACACTAGGTTGAGGCAGAGAGCAATGGTAAGAGAGCAATCTCTTAAGAAGTCCGGACGAGGGGTAGACTTGACGGCTGGGACAGTCCGGATATCTATCTGAGTGTCAGAAGCAAGTGGCACATGATTGCCCTCGGTACTAACCAATATGACGAACGTGCCGAGCAAGATTGGGATGTGCGAGAACAGTTGCAAAAGGGGATATGATCTGGAGCCGCGTGTTTACTGAGCATATGTGATACAAGACACTACGAATGCAGACATACAGCAGGGTATCGTTTGGTTTGGTTGAGCCTGATTAAGAGGGTGCGGTACAGTCGTGGAATGACCCCGGCGAGAAAAGAGCGGCTGACGAGTGAGACAGAGACCAGATCATTTACGCTGAGGTGAGCAAAAATAAGTTCGAGGCAGTCGAGGTTGAGATTATCAGCGGACACCATGCTTGGGGGGGAGGCGCAAACTTGCCTGAGGGAGGCGTCGGGCAAAGTGCGCGCTCATTGGGCCTGCCGGCCGCACGGCGGCATGCGCCGGAGTTAAACCTTGATTAGATCGGGCACCAATCGGTCCGCGTCCTGTGGGCTCTGGCTCGCCGCTTGCTTTCACCCTCCCCTCGTCGTTGTTGCCGTCGCCGCGGGCAACGATGCCCAGCTCTATCGTCTCTCTTGAACCACTCAGCTCGCCTTCGCCCTCGCCACCTCCTCCTGAAGAACCCAACACTACTTCCTCTTCCAATCACAGTGGCGCAGCTGGCCTCGACAGCGGCTCTGAGCTTTCCGAACTCACAGAGGACGAACAAGAAGACAACAAGGAGAACGGAGCAAAGGACTCTGACTCTCGTTCCTCAGCTCGCGAGAGCAAACGAAAGCGTGGAGGACTGATTCCTGGACCGATGTGGCAGTGGGCGTACAAGCCCTCCAAAAAGGGCGAGTGGAGATCCAGGCCTGTATTGGAAGAAGAGGAGGAAGAGCCGACTGGCCCTGTAAGAGCGATGGAAGAGGAAGAAGACGATGACCAGGACGACTGGACCTTTGGCCAACGCGCTGAGAGGCGTCCGTCAGGCGACAGCGAGGGGAAGCTCGGGCGCGAGGAGAATCATGCGGACACGCGTGAACTCATACTCCCGATACAAGTCTCTCCAGAACGTCCTCCAAATGGTATCGGAGATGAGCATGAGTCGGGAGGATCAGAAGAAGAAGACGACGACGACGAGGAGCCCGAGGCTGTAACAAGCATTGCGCCGTCGCTGGCGCAGTCTCACAAAGACGGCACTTCTCCCGACCTTACTGACGATGAAGCTGCGGAAGATGAGGAAATGGAGGAAGATGTTCCCGAGGACGATGCTGCGGCGGCGGTATCCGACATTGACGATATGGTGACCAAACCAGTGGCCGCCGA